GATGTGGTGGAGGCTGACTCCATACACAGTTTCAAATGTAGATATGATAGAGCCCAGTAGGCTCAGGAATCTGTACACCAGTTGATTGACGGTTGAGAGGCGGGACCAATGAACCAGAGCTCAACCCCCGCAATCACAAATAGGTGAGTACACACACACACACACACACACACACACACACACACACACACACACACACACACACACACACACACACACACACACACACACACGCGCGTAGGTGAGGTAAAAGAGAGATTAGTGGTAGGGGGGGGGAGGTGTAGCGGCACTCACCAGTCAGAGGCGGCGCGTGGCGTGAAGATGACTGCTCTAGACTGTCATCAGTCACCACACAAAAACTAACAAGTGGTGGTGGAAGAACCAGTCAATGGGCCACATGGAAGAATAACACATATTCGCTACAGAGAAAGTCGTCCTGTTAACCACACATCCCCTGGCAAGAATCCATATATAAAACAGTCACGTCAGAGAATATTCCCAGTACTTCTAAATAAACAATTCCAGAGTGCATTCCTAATTGTTTTTCAAACAGTAATTCCAGTAGTTGTTACCACGGCAACCAGGAGGCCTGGTCGACGACCGGGCCGCGGGGACGCTAAGCCCCGGAAGCACCTCAAGGTAACCTCTCCCATCTATTTTTATTGCCAGACATGCAGTTGACGTTCGTAAAAATATTAGCTTTTATCTTTCTACTCATAGTTCCCTATGTTGTTGTTAAAGATTCGCTACCTGGAACAAAGTTCCAAGTAGCACGGGCTATGGTGAGCCCGTATAGAGTTCCCTAGAATTCTTTTTCAGTTGGACATTTTAGTGAATGTCTTAAGGCCTCCGCATTTCATTACAGTCAGAACGAAACTGAACTGAAACGTTAGAACTGAACTGAAACAGACGTTAAACTGAACGTCTCCAGATCCATTAAATCTTCCAGCCAGTTATTGTAGCGAATTTCCACCCACCAAGTCTCCATCAGCCCCAGACGTTCCAGTGAACTATTGAACGTCCCTAACCCATTTTCCATCGTTCCAACCTGATATTCCAGCGGACGCTCCTTGCTCTCCTTATTTTCCAGTGAATTATTATTGCCCCCATACATCTTCATTCCGGCCAGACATTCCAGTGAACGTCTTCTACGAGCTTCTCTCTCGACGTCGACATTCTAGTGTGGGATTTTTCCATTGGAAGTTTGATCTGTAGCTCTACGCAATAATTTGTCACGTATATGCGTCCGTCAGTGTGTTGCGTCGCCAGTGTATTACATCGCCAGCCTTCCGCAAGGTGGAACTACTGACCCTTCCCAGGATGCAACCCAACATGCAAGTTGAGTAACTCCTGGGTACCTATTTAATGCAAGGTGGACAGAGGCAATAGGTAATAGGAAACGAGCCTAAGCATTTCTTTCCCGTCAGGGATTCGAAATTCCCGATTGCTAGTCGAGAAGGAACCCAACAGTACTATAAGAATACAGTATACAATGGACTCCTTAACCAGGGCGTGTTTTGAGTGCAAGAACCCTGGATTCCTTGACCTGGGCATGTATTGAGTGCAGGAGTCCTGGACTCCTTGACCCGGGCGCGTGCATTGAGTGCATGGGCCACTGGACCTCTCACCGGCAACAGTGGAGGTGCAGTGAAATGTGTCATTAGAGCCGTGAGGCGGCGCTTGCACCACTCTTCTCAGGCTGAATGTTACACGCATGTCTGACCCACATGAACACCAGGGAGGTCGCTGGCTAGGCCCTCTACACGTCACCTCCTACACCTCCTCCCCCTCCCATCTCTCTCTCTCTCTCTCTCTCTCTCTCTCTCTCTCTCTCTCTCTCTCTCTCTCTCTCTCTCTCTCTCAGTGTGCCTGAGAGCTCTCGTTGCTTGGTTTAGTCGTCTCTACGACTACATTTTTATGGGTTATTCATGCCCGTGCCACCTCTTGGGTGGCTTAATCTTCATCAGTCATCAATCGTCTACATTTACTATCAGTGCCTGCAGGATCGACCTGTTAGCTCTTGGACCCTGCCTTTCTAACCGTAGGTTGTTTAATTTTCTGACTCCAGACGTATTTTTACCCATCGTATCTACTACATATATTTCTCACTCTCTCCCACACTTCACACACTCACTTATGTCAGACCAATCTTGGAATATGCAGCGCCAGCCTGGAGTCCATATCTAGTTAAACACAAGACAAAGTTAGAGAAGATTCAGTGGTATGCCACCAGGCTCGTCCCGGAACTAAGAGGAATGAGCTACGAGGAAAGCCTAAAGGAGCTGAACCTCACGTCCCTGGAAAAACAGAAGAGTAAGGGGAGACATGATAACCACCTACAAAATTCTCAGGGGAATTGACAGGGTGGACAAAGACAAACTCTTCAGCACGGGTGGGACACGAACAAGGGGACACAGGTGGAAACTTAGTACCCAGATGAGCCACAGAGACGCTAGAAAGAATTTTTTCAGTGTCAGAGTAGTTAATAAATGGAATGCACTAGGCAGTGATGTGGTGGAGGCTGACTCCATACACAGTTTCAAATGTAGATATGATAGAGGCCCAGTAGGCTCAGGAATCTGTACACCAGTTGATTGACAGTTGAGAGGCGGGACCAAAGAGCCAAAGCTCAACCCCCGCAAGCATAATTGGGTGAGTAAACACAGACTCACACATTACTAGGATTAAGCCCGTACCAGCTGTCTAATTACAAGGTACCTATTTATTGCTAGGTGAACAAGGTGAAAGAAGCTGTGCTCATTTGTTTCTGCCTCGGCCGGGAATCGAACTCAGGAGCCGGTCGGCCGAGCGAACAGCACGCTAGACTTGTGATCCTGTGGTCCCGGGTTCGATCCCAGGCGCCGGCGAGAAACAATGGGCAGAGTTTCTTTCACCCTATCCCCCTGTTACCTAGCAGTCAAATAGGTACCTGGGTGTTAGTCAGCTGTCACGGGCTGCTTCCTGGGGGTGGAGGCCTGGTCGAGGACCGGACCGCGGGGACACTAAAAAACCCCGAAATCATCTCAAGATAACCTCAAGATAACCTCAAGGAGCTTAGGACTACGACCCCCCCTCCCCCCGAGGACTGTCCACTCAGCCGTGAGGAGCCTGTGTGTGTGTGTGTGTGTGTGGTGTGTGTGTGTGTGTGTTGTGTGTGTATGTGGTGTTGTGTGTGTGGTGTGTATGTGTATGGTGTGGTGTGTGTGTGTGTGTGTGTGTTGTGTGTGTGTGTGTGTGTGTGTGTGTGTGTGTGTGTGTGTGTGTGTGTGTGTGTGTGTGTGATCGTAGAGACACTTAACTACCTGTCTGCGCAAAGTGAGTTTCATCTGGTGTGCCCTGGCGCTCAGGTGACAGGTGTACCCAGTGCAGCTATTGCTCCAGACCGCTCCTTGAGCTAGAGCTTACTGGTCAAACTGCTGAGTAGAGGCGACCTTCACCATCTCTCTCCGAGTACTTAAATCCGTATTACTTTCTGCATTATCTGTTCTTACACGTTCCACCCTCGCGGTCTCGTCTATCTTCAGTATCTTGTACGTTGCGATCAAATCTCCTCTGATACCTTGCCGAGTTCACTCCAGCACCGTGGTCGAGGGTGTGAGTCCAGTTAGGTCAACCTGTCCTGCAAAGAGCGTCGCTTTTCGATCGTATGCGTTACTTAAGGCCAAAAATTGTCGTACTAGAAAAAATGGAAGCGGCTGGCGAAAGTGACGTACTGTCCCGTTTTCTGTTTTGGGTCCTCTTGTAGGTTAGGAGAGACCACTTTAAACTGACCGTTTTCTTGACGTAGGGAAACTTTAGGAGGATAGACTGGTTAGGTAGCCATGACAGAGAACTGGTGTGTGGTCTGGAGCATCTGTTGTACACGCATCATATATATTTCTTTACTTTCCAAGTGGTCGCCTCGCCGCTTCCCGCCTCCCCGTCCCAACATTGTGTGCTGGTCGCTTTACAACTTCACGATCCTCAACAGACTTCAAAAGTAGCTAAAACCCTTTTTTGTTTGACTTTGATCGTTCTCTGTGACCCGTCTCGCATCTCATACCTTCGCTGAGATGCCTCTGTAGTACTCTCACCATCACTGACGTCACGGTGACGTCACTATCCTCCCCAGCCCACAACCCGTCCGGCGGCACCTGGCAACGCATATGACGTCATCAAAACACGCCACGGTGCCAAATCAGTACGACCGTCTCCGGCGGACCCTGTCAAGGTCATTCACTAGTACTCGGACGGGGGGTACTTATGTGACAAATTTAAATGGAATGCTAATTATTTATGTCCACACAGGTAAACAAAAGCTCTTATTGGTCAGCCGGGAGGTGATCTTAGTGTGTTAAGGGGGGAGTTATTTGCACCGTTTTCTCATGTATATTGAAATTGAATTGAAATAAGTTTATTGAAGTAAAATATACACAAGGGATGAGGTAGCTCAAGCTATTCTCACCCCGTTCAGTACATCGTGTTAATACATACATAGACACACATCACAAACAATAAACATATTACCGAACATTCTGAGAGATACACATATACATTTCCTCGCATGTATATGTGTGTGTATATATGTTTGTGTTTATTGCTTGTCTGGAGATGTGGTTTAAATGTGAAAATAAGAGCGTTTAGCTGCGCGTGTTGACGGTGGTGGTGTGTAGAGGAGAGAGCGGCGGGTTGTAGGGAGTTAGTCAGTGCCTTACAGTCGTCGGTGTTCCAGTCGTACGGTGTCTCTCTCTCCTGTTGTGGACCGGTGGTGGGGTTCCATCACTGGTTGTGGACCGGTGGTGGGGTTCCATCACTGGTTGTGGACCGGTGGTGGGGTTCCATCACTGGTTGTGAACCAGTGGTGGGGTTCCATCACTGGTTGTGGACCGGTGGTGGGGTTCCATCACTGGTTGTGAACCAGTGGTGGGGTTCCATCACTGGTTGTGGACCGGTGGTGGGGTTCCATCACGGGTTGTGGACCAGTGGTGGGGTTCCATCACGGGTTGTGGACCGGTGGTGGGGTTCCATCACGGGTTGTGGACCGGTGGTGGGGTTCCATCACGGGTTGTGGACCGGTGGTGGGGTTCCATCACGGGTTGTGGACCGGTGGTGGGGTTCCATCACGGGTTGTGGACCACTGGTGGGGTTCCATCACGGGTTGTGGACCACTGGTGGGGTTCCATCACGGGTTGTGGACCAATGGTGGGGTTCCACCACTGGTTGTGGACCAGTGTTGGAATTCCACCACTGGTGGGGTTCCATCACGTGTTATGGACCAGTGGTGGGATTCCACCACTGGTTGTGGACCAGTGGTGGAACCCACCCAGGACTGTGAGCCAGCGTTGTGTCACCAACAGCCGTGTTGACCAAGCCTGGCGCCACCGGTGCTAGACTAGTCACCTGCAGAAACTAATTGCCTCCCCAACGCACGACTTGCCTCGAAACAACACTAAAAGTGAAATTGAATTTATACACGAGTTTAACGCATCGAAACATCGCTGGCCCCATTATTACAGCGGGCGACCTTTGTAGGACACGAAGCGCGGCTCTCATTGGCCGCCGCTGGACCAATCGGAGCGCTCCGAGGCGTCCTTGAAGGTCGGAAGAAACAGAGGAAGTGTAGAACGGAAGCTGTTTCGCATCAGTTGCCGGCGAGGAACGCGAACGTGCGGGTGTGTCAGTCGTGGCTCTTGCCACCTTGAGGCCGCCATAAGTCATTCACCGTCAGTATAAGCCCTTAGACCGCCCCCAGTTGTGGCCGCTACCCACCACGCCCTCCTGAACACCGGCAGGACAACCCCGCCCCTCCTTCCCCACATCCTCCCTTCTGAACCGGTTTGGTCTCATTGAAAGTGAAGGTGTACTTTTCCCGTCATAATAAACTGGTACTGGAAAAATCCGAGTGACCCCCAGGGCGCTGGACGCGTGTACTGGTGACCCGAAGTGTTTGGGCTTCTTCCTCCACGACCTGCCAGGACCTCTTGTAGCATGAAGGTAAGCCTCGGCCGTCTCCTTTATACTTCTCGCATGCTGCAGACAATGCTGTTGTATGTATACAATACATACAATGCACTTCTTACATGCTGCATACAATGATGTATGTATACAATGCATACAATACACTTCTCCCATGCTGCAGACAATGCTGTTGTATGTATACAATACACTTCTCCCATGCTGCAGACAATGCTGTTGTATGTATACAATGCATACAATACACTTCTCCCATGCTGCAGACAATGCTGGTGTATGTATACAATACACTTCTCGCATGCTGCAGACAATGCTGTTGTATGTATACAATGTATACAATACACTTCTCGCATGCTGCAGACAATGCTGTTGTATGTATACAATGTATACAATACACTTCTCCCATGCTGCAGACAATGCGGGTGGTGTATACAATACACTTCTCGCATGCTGCAGACAATGCTGTTGTATGTATACAATGTATACAATACACTTCTCGCATGCTGCAGACAATGCTGGTGTATGTATACAATACATACAATACACTTCTCCGATGCTGCAGACAAAATACATCATATTTTCAGTATTGTTAGAATATTATATTTCTCTTAATGAAGAACTTATTTTGAACTTTTTGAATATTTTGAACTTTGGTTCACTTGTGGTAATTATGTCAGCGTCAAAAAAAGTAGACAAAAGAGGTATATAAAAGCAGCAATATAGAGATTTTCCAATATGTGAGGAATTCAACTTCGATTTTTTTTTTATCTCGACATAATCACATCTGTCTGTTCTGTTCAGTTATCTATAGACCGCATCTATTGTTGTTATAGATTCAGCTACTTGGAACAAGTTCCAAGTAGCACGGGCTATGGTGAGCCCGTAACTTATCTGGCACAGGAGCGGGGCAAGTAGCACGGACTATGGTGAGCCCGTAACTTACCTGGCACAGGAGCGGGGCAAGTAGCACGGGCTATGGTGAGCCCCTAGTGGACTTACCTGGCACAGGAGCGGTGCCCTGAAGCCCGCATCACTCCACACTATTCCTTTATCTCACAACTGGAACTCACGATACTAGAGGACAGGAGGAATAAGGGGACATGATAACGACATAAAAGATTCTGAATGAAATTTAAGTGAAAGAAGCAGTATGCAGAGCTACGAACTACAAAACGAGGCGGAATTGATGAAAACTAATGACACGAATGAATTAGAGATGTGATATATAGGCTCTGAGTTGTAAATTGGCGGAATAGTTTTGACGAAGAACTGCTTCAAGTTAACTCACCAAACAATTTAAAATGTAGTTAAATGTAAATATTATAAGAAAACGGGTCATTACATTAAACTACAAAATGTTCGAAAGGTGGGGGCCAGGAGCATAAGGAGAACCCTGCAAGCATGTCTAGTTTAGATATCTTGTGAGCGCACACACACACACACACACACACACACACCACACACACACACACACACACACACACACACACACACACACACACACACACACACACACACACACACTGTATTAACCTAGTTGTGTTTGCGGGGGTTGAGCTCTGCTCTTTCGGTCCGCCTCTCAACTGTCAATCAACTGTTTCTATCCATCACACCATCACACACCAGGAAGCAGCCCGTGACAGCTGTCTAACTCCCAGGTACCTATTTCCTGCTAGGTAAGAGGGGCATCAGGGTGAAATAAACTCTGCTCATTTTTGTTTCTCGCCGGCGCCGGGAATCAAACCCCGGTCCACAGGATTACGTATCCAGTGTACTGAGCTGCCCACTCAGCCCCCAGCACCCCCCAAGTGTTCCCCACTTGGGGGGTGTGTATTTAATATGTAAACAAACAAAATATCGTCAAATTATGTAATCTTTTGACAAATTTTAAGTTGAGAAACTTTCTTCAAAAATATTACACTCACATTCACAGTCAGTGGTTTATGCACCATTCTCCGTGCGTGAATGTTTTTTTTTTTTGTGATTGGTCTGCTTCTCAAGTCTTTCGACAGTGGTTCTCAAGCTGTGTCAATGTATCCATAAAGCTGCTCAAGTAAGGCCGAAGATGTATTGTATGTATGGTCGTCCTGTCCCCAGTGTCATCCCATAGTTAACATTACTCGCCTGGTGAAGAATGTGTATGAACAGGTGTCAGACCATAGTGAATAGTTCGTTATTGCTCTTCTGTGTCGTAGACTAAATGACCACCTGTTGGCCCAAGACCTCGTCTCCGGACAAGGGAAAAGGTGTTCACAGCTGACGTAAGAGGAACAGGAGGAGGATAACAGAAGGAAGGAGGGAGGGGAAAGGATGGAGGAGAAGAAGGAGGGGGAGAGAGGAAAAGTTGGAGGTGGACAGAGGTCAGGACGCAAGTGTAAAATGTGAAGAAGCTGGCGGGAAGAGGCTACGAGAGAGAGAGAGAGAGAGAGAGAGAGAGAGAGAGAGAGAGAGAGAGAGAGAGAGAGAGACAGAGAGACAGAGAGAGAGAGTGTAGTAGTTCAGACGTCGTCAGTGGTAGTTACCAGACAGTGGCCCTCGTTAAAGGAATGTCCTGCAAGTCACCGTCCAGGACCTGGAGGTCTGGACCGCCATCACATTCCACTTCACTCTTCACCTTCAAACTCAATTCGTGACAACTTTCTTCAAATGCGTGTAGCCAGTCTGTAATTTTTTCTACTTTTATCCAACCATCACATTTCAGCGTTCCACAACACACACACACACACCACCCAACAAGACACACACAACACACACACACACACCAACCAACACACACACACACACACACACACACACACACACACACTATACAAACACCAAAATGACACTTGACTTTACTGAGGATGACGTCTCACTCTTAAGAGCTTTATCACAGCTAAGAGATGCACTCAAGACCAGCTACTCACAAAGAGTATAACTCACAGGAGGTGAAAGTTGTGGGGTGAGGTCAGGAAGGCCGAGGATTAGGGGATGACTAGATATATTTCCATAGTGTCAATGTAACAATAGGATTGTAATACTTAGGTAGATTTTTTTCCCTCGAAGGTGTTTGATGGTTGAAGATTGTGTGTTCTGTCTTGTGTGTGTTCTGTTTTGATGATTGGTTGTAGTTCCTGAGGTTGTAGTTCACTAGGTTCGTCCTCCATGTTCGTCCTGTGTACACCCATATTGATATTGACGGCTGTTGATGCTGTGTGCTGGACTTGTCTTGACGTTGCTACAGTAATTACTCGGTTTCCGTAACGTATTGAGGAGGATGTTTAACATTCATTGAGGAATCGAAGTCGTAAGAAGTCCTTACGATTTCGTAAGAAGTCCCTACGACTTCGTAAGAAGTCCCTACGACTTCGCAAGAAGTCCCTACGACTTCGCAAGAAGTCCTTACGACTTCGTAAGAAGTCCTTACGACACTTGTCCTCAAGAAACAGCTGAGCACGTCTTAGAGGCCTCTGGGAAGATATCCAGTCAGTGTGTGTTCATTTACTTGACACAAATCATCACCGTGTGTTCCTGTCGTTGATGCAGTCATACCTGGAGTATACCTGGGGAAGGTTTCTGGAGTTCTACTCCCCGAGCCCGGCCTCAATCACCGTGTTCATTTGCGTGACACAATCAGCGAAACACTACAAGATGGTGGCGCCCTCATGTCCAGTCACCAGAAAAACAACAACCTGTCCTGACACACGACCGCCTCACCATCCGCCTCACCATCCGCCTCACCATCCGCCTCACCATCCGCCTCACCATCCGCCTCACCATCCGCCTCACCATCCAAATTCCGGCGTTTAATTTCAATTAAATCGCCACAATATTACCGCAATTTAACCATCTACCTAGAGTGGGTTAAGTCGATCGCCTACAGGCTCAAAACGCTTCTGGTTAGGTGAAAACCATTTTATATTCGACGCCTGAAAATTAACCAACAGAAACCATCGATTTTTTTTAACATGACAGGTAAAACTAAAGGAAGTATAATACTTGTATTTTCCGGTGGAGTTTGGGACATAGAACGTGAGGTCATGATGACGAGGGGCAGCTCTTGTCTGGTTCACAAACGTGGCACAGACAGTTTATATTAGATTGATTGATTGATGAAGATTAAGCCACCCCCCAAGAGATGCAGGCATGGGCATGAATAGCCCGTAATTATAGGTTCATATTCCCCCTCTTAATATCATACATACATGCGACAAACCTGTGCCTGAAACAGTCAAGCCTTCTCACGTCTCTTTATGTCACCCGGTAATTGCACAAATCAACAACCTTGTTTCCAAACCAGTATTTACCCAGGTGTTTCCTGTGTGTAATAACAGAGGCGGTTAGTCGGGGTCGCTCCCTGCTGGCGAGGTACACGAACTATGGGGCCACTCACGGCTCCTGACGAATTAGTATTTAGAAATCACAGCTCAGCACTGACTGACTGGGCTGGCGCATGTGTGCGCATTCCTCTAATAGTAGAGAATGGGAAAATGGTGGTTTGGTCAGCAATTGGCTTGTTCTAAACGATCGACCTAGATGTTCAGTAATTCCCACACGTAGTTGTCTGGTGAGGCTAACAATGTACAGAGTCGTTCATCTCCCACGCGGCCAGACACTCAGATAAGAACATTATTATGTCTGTAAAGACCGTTGGTAGATCATTCGAGTAGAACTCCAACAAGGTACTCGGGTTCGATCCCTTTCTATAATCCTTGATGGGGGGGGGGGTGTTTCCGGCGGTGCCCGGGCCGACTCAGCGTCATTTCTAGAAAAACAAATACAAGAAAAATGATGAGAAATTACAAGAATGTATGGGAATATATTCGTGTCTGTATCTGTGTCTCATTCTCTCTGTCTGTCTATGTTTCTGTCGTTTTCTGTGTATCTATCAGTGTCTCTCTGCCTCTTTGTGCTTGTGTCTGTCTGTCTCTCTCTCTCCTCTCTCTCTCTCTCTCTCTCTCTCTCTCTCTCTCTCTCTCTCTCTCTCTCTCTCTCTCTCTCTCTCTCTCTCTCTCTCTCTCTCTCTCTCTCTCTCTCTCTCT